CAGAGTCAGGGCTCAGGATGGAGCATCTCCAAACTGACAAGGTATATGACATTTCTACTACTTGGAAGCAAGACTAGACCATAAATTGCTCCTCCTAGAGAGACAGTGTACATTTATTTTCAAGCATAGAGTCTGGATGGGGAAGAAATCTGATAGAGTAAAGATACTAATATTTATTGAATAAACTATGTGCTAGTCACTATACTAAACAGTAAATGATGTCTCTAATCATCAAAATAACACTATGAGGTAGTCACCATGATAGTTAGAATGTCTATACAATTTATTTCCTATCATACAATACTTTGGGGAATAAAATAAAATAGCTCTTAATAACTAATCTCACACAATAAACATAACATGAGACTTTCTTGTGAAAACTGAAAATATGATCACCTTATTATAATCCATTATTACAAATAAGAAAACTAAGTTCCACACAAGTGACGTATTGTCCCTAGGCTCTTCTGCTAGCATATGGCAGATTTAGAACTCCAAACTTCTTGGAGTTAACACTTTATGGAGTAAGCAGTTTGTCAAAAGCAATAATTCTGAAGACGTCTGATAGAAGATGAAATATTAATAACATTTTCACTCTACTCCTTCAATGAAATTTTTTACAAAATAGTAAAAAATAATGAGACAGAGAAGAAACCATCACCTTAAGATACATAAAAGGAACTTTCATCTTTAATTAAAATAAGATATGATCACAACTCCAAACCACAACATATATAGAGTATCTGTAATGACCACAGCACTTAGAAGTTTCTTTTATAAACATGCATTGAATGTAAGAATTCAATCAATCCAAACAGTAATATAAAATAAAGAACAAAAATATGAAGAAGCCATGGTATGAAAATGCTGGGAGCAAGTTCTGATTTTGTTAGTATTTGCAATTTTATATGAAAGACTGTAGGAATTACAATTATAGAACAAAACAGAAGAGAAATGTTACAAACACTAACAATGTGGAGATTGTAATAGAGCTGACAAAAAAATCTGGAGATGGGAGGAGAAAAAGTGAGAGGAAGTTTAGCTACATAGATATCTTCGTTATCCATGGAAAGAAACCAAGAGGTGCCATATAAGCTCGATACATCAGTAAGTGCATATCTAAGCACACTATATAAATTTAGGAAGTTAAAGAGTAGGCATATAAAAAACAGAATACAAACCTTCAAAATTACCAACAGAAAAAAAATTAACAGACTTAGACTATAATACCATAGTAAATAGTGGAAACAATCCCTCCAAAATAACATCAAAATAAATAAAATGAAAACAAAACAACCACTTGATGAATAAGGTAAAGCTGCATATAAGACTATCATGGTAACACACAATTGTAGATTTATGAGCCAATGCAACTACACAAATGAAATAAGTGAAAAGAAGTGATAAAATTATACATATTTACAAGTAATATGATTATCCATTTAGAAAACTCAAGAGGCTCATCTGAAACCCCATGCAAAACAATAAGAGAATTCACTGAGGCATTTGACTACAAAATCAGTAGTTTTCTGTATATGGAAGCTAATCACATGTAAAACAAAATGAAAGAAATAATACTATATATCAATAGTCATATTATTTAAAACAACTCAGCATAAATGTCACAAAAAAATGAACAGCATGTATATAAACTAAAAACTAAATATTTACTGAGATACTTGAAACCAGATTTTATTTCTTTCCAGCTTTTATTTTAGGTTCAAGTGGTACATGGAACAAGTGTGCAGGCTTTTTGCATGAGTAAATTGTATGTCTTGAAGATTTGGTGTACAGATATTTTTATTATCCATCAGACATGACTCATCTTCTCTCCACCATTTATCCTCAAATAGGCCCCAGTGTTTGTTGTTCCCTTCTTTGTGTCCATGTATACTCAAAGTGCAGCTCCCGCTTTTAAGTGAGAACACACACTATTTGGTTGTCAGATTCTGCATTAATTCGCCAAAGATAATGGCCTCCAGCTACATCCATGTTGCTGCAAAAATCATGATCTCAATCTTTTTTATTGCTGTGTAGTGTTCCATGGTATATATTTAACATATTTTCTTTATTTCTTCCACCATTGAAGGACGCCTAGGTTGATTACATGTCTTGCAATTGTAAGTACTGCTGCAGTGAACATACATGTGCATGTGTCTTTATGGTAGAACAATTTATTTTGCTTTGGGCATACACCCATTAATGGGATTGCTGGGTCAAATAGTATTTCTACTTTAAGTTTTTCAGAGGTCTCTAGACTGTTTTACCCGGTGGCTGAACTAATTTACATTTCCACTAGGAGTATATAAATAATCCCATTTATCTGCAACCTTTCCAGAATTTTTTACTTTTGAATGTTTAATAATAGCTATCCTAACAAGTGTGAGATGGTATCTTTGTGGTTTTAGCTTGCATTTCCCTAATGATTAGTGATATGAAACAGTTTTTCTTATGCTTGTTGGCTGTATGTGTATATTCTTTTGAAAAGTGTTCTTGTTCTTTGCCCATTTTTTAAAAGATTTTTTTTTGCTTGTGGATTTGTTTAATTTCCTTACAAATTCTGGATATTAGGCCTTTGTAAGATGCATTTTTTTCAAATACATCCTCCCTTCTGTAAATTGTCTGTTTATTGATATTTTACTTGATGTGCAGAAACTCTTTAGTTTAACTTGGTTTTACTTGTCGATCTTTGTTTTTGTTGCATTTGCTTTTGAAGTCTTAGTCATGAAGTTTTTGCATGGACCAATGTTCAGAATTGTGTTTTCTACACTTTCTTGTAGACTTTTCATAGTTTTACATTTTAAGTTTGAGTACTGAACCCATTTTGAATTGAATTTTGTATACAGTGACAGGTAGGGGTCCAGTTTTAATATTGTGCAAATGACTAGCCAGTTATCTCAGCACCATTTATTAAATAAGGAATAATTTTCCCATTGCTTGTTATTGTTGGCTTTGTCAAAGTTCAGATGGTTGTAAATGTTTGGCTTTATTTCTGGATACTCTAACCTGTTCTATTTCTCTGTTTGTCTCTTTTTGCACCAATACCATGCTGTCTTACTTACTATAACTTTGTAGTATCGTTTGAAGCCAGGTAGTATGATGTTTCCATCTTTCTTATTTTTGCATAATAGTGCTTTGGTTACTTGAGTTCTATTTTGGTTCCATCTTAATTTCAGAATATTGTCTTCTAATTCCATGAAAAATGTTATTGATACTTTGATAGGAATAATATTGAATATGTAAATTGTTTTGAGCAGTATTGCCATTTTAATAATATTGATTCTTTCTATGCATTTATCTTGGAATTTTTTCCATTTGTTTCTGTTGTCTCTAATTTCTTTCAGAAGTGTTTTTGTAATTCTTGTTGTAGAGATCTTTCACTTCCCTGGTTAGCTGTATTCCTAGGTATTTTACTTTTTGCATCTATTGTAAGTGAGTTGCATTCTCAATTTGGCTCTCAGTTTGGATGCAATAGATTCCTAGAAATGTTACTGATTTTTGTAATTGATTTTATATTCTCGACCTTTGGTAAAGTTTTTTTTTTATCAGATCTAGAAGCCTTTGGGCAGAGACTATGGAGTTTACTTTGTATTAGACTGTACCTCCTACAAAATGAATTTTTCCCTTTCTTCCTATTTCGATGCCTTTCATATTCTTGAAAGGTATATATTTTGAAACAATTATGAGTTCACAGGAAGTTTCAAAGGTATGTACATGGAGGCCTTATGTACGCTTAAACTAGTCTCTCCCAATATTAAAATCTTCAGTACACTACCACATTACACTTTCAATACTAGAACATTGACATTGATGCAATCCAGAGCTTTTTGAGATTCAACACTTTTCTTTTGGCTTTTCTAGGCATTTTTTATTTCCATATGAATATTATAATTATCTCATCAATTTCTATTAAAAGATCATTTTAGAATTTTGATTAGAATTTAGTTGAATCTAGAGATGAATTTGGAAATAACTGCCATTTTACAATATTGAATATTCCAAACAAAAATCAAAATACACATCACGATTTTTTTCTTATGTCATTAATTTATCATTGTAATTTTTTTTTTAGCTTTAAGGGCACAAGTCATTTACATCTTTGTTCAGATTTACACCTAAGCCTTTAATATTTCAGTGGTATTTTAGATTGCACTGTTCTTAATTTCAACTTTTAGTTGTTGAAATTCACTTCCAGTCAACCCTAGGACTACCATTGGCTGAAACATTGCCACTTCTAATATATAAACTTCTAATAGATAAACATACAATTGATTTGTGTGTTGATCTCTTACTCTGCAATCTTGCTAACCTCAATTATTATAGAAGCATGTTTTTATATTGACTTTTCTACTTCCACTCTCATGTAGTATTTGACAGATGATACTTTTACTTCTCCCCATCCAATCTGAATGCATTTTTTTTGCACTGAACACAGTCTCCAGTACAAAGTACAACTATGCCCACACTGGTACACATGTTGGTCTTAGATTGTAGTATCCTGCATATGAACACTTGGAACAACTTCCAGCACTTGAATATCCACTCCTCCCCACATTGCACATACTGGTAGAATTCATGTTGGAATACTACATTTACTATGAACATACATCCTTCATTTGAAACAAGACTGGGATACACAGTAAAGCATGTTTATTCAGTAGTTTTGACAGACTGAAAGCCATCATTTCAGATTGGAAATAGGACACTTAAATGAACTACATGGACATTGGGTAAAAGAGTATGGGTTGAAGTTTGCCTGACAGTAGCCTAAAAGTAAATGGTCTTCAAGGTACATATCAAGGAACTGCAGGACGGAAATGAGATAATTCACATCTCCACCAATAATTAGATGTAGCCACACTAGCTTGAAGGGATTTCAGGTGAGGCATCTAAAATACTAGGTCATGGTGGCGGCTGGAAGATAAAAAATAATAGATCATTTAATAGAAATGGCTGTGGGGAAGACCTTGAAGGAATCATCCTCTCACTTGATGTGAACCATGAACATTAAACATGGAGGAATGAGGAGCGGCGGTAGATCAGTTTGGGATGCATCTTCAGGGGATGTTGAAACAACAACAGCATATGGTTTTCTCTACAACCCTTTCATCCTTTCTGCCCAAGCCCAGGAAGTTGTCAGGGGTGGTACTTTGTGATGTCAAAGCCATCCCAGGACTGTTATTGGCTGGGACACTGCCTGTATGATCAAACAAAGCTCAAGAATGTGGCTTTGCCTTGTCACCGGGAGGGTATATATAGGGAGGGCAAGAGCTCTGGGACAACCCACTAGGAAGCTTCCATATAGCTGTGGATGTCTGTACCCTAGAAGAGCCTAGTATAGACATTCTAGAACCAGTCATAATTATGGAAGATCCAACTTCAAGCACAAATGGGGAGAAGAGAAAAAGTCCCTGTGAATCAAGTAACAAAGAAAGTGATGAGGTAAGATTGTTCGGTTTTGAAGGTAAGGCTGGGGTGAAAGAAAACCATACAGAGAGGGGGCAGCTCAAATAGCAGCACAGGAATATTGCAGAAGCCTGTGGCAGTGGGGGACCAGCTTAATGTCAGAGCCTACCGCCACTTACAGGCTGGGGTACCTATAGGCATGCGTGGAAGGGATCTATGCAGTATGGTTTGCTGACCAGCAGGTTATTTATGAGATGTTCTTATGATCAGGTGGTTTGGCCCTTTTTCCAGTGGAATGTCATTGTAGTGTTCCTTAGAGCTTTGCCAAGCAAGATGTCATAGGGGTGTTTCTTAGTTGGGCCTTTGACAGCTTTTTGGTCAGATGGTTAGACAGGATGTTTCTCATGGCCTCAACCCCCATGGAATGTTTCACTTTGAACAAGGCCTGCAAAATAGCAAAGAGCTTACAAAATGATATAGTTGGACAAACACAGATGACCCTAGCTATGCTCCTCTTCTTCTTCCCCACAGATCCCTGCCCTATGGTTTCACCTTGTTTTCTCTGGCACAAACCCCTTTCTCAAACTCCCTTCTTTCTCACAAAGCTCTCCTTACTATCCAGTCTCTACACTGTTCACCCAAAATAATGGCTTTCTGATCTCTCCCTGTTTTCTTAGCAGAAGCAGGAGACACTGAAAACAGTCTTGGCTCCTGAACAAAGTGTGAAAAAGACCAAAAAATCAAAATATTCAACAATATTAGAGTTTTCCTACAAGAAGGATGAGAAAACAAATTCAAATCAACTGGAGAAAGACCAGTCTGAAGAGAAGTCTACTGATCCAGTCCAAGAGAAGATGGACAAAGACCTAGACGCGTCTGAAGGATCTTCACATGAGGATAAAGATCTAGACTTATGGCAAGTATCTTCACTAGAGGATGAAGACCAAGACGACTCATCTGAAGGATGTTCACAGGAGTGTGGGGAGGATTCGTCACACATGCAGAAACCAAATTGGACACATTATCACCACTGATGGCGATGATAATAATAAAATCAAGTGTGAGGAGATGATGACTCTGTATATCTCTACCTGTTTTCTGATGTTGGGTAGGACGAGAAGGGAGAAGTAGGCATTTGGTAAGGGAGGAGTGTGAGGTTCTGTAGGGTTGGCTGACAGACCCACAGATTAACAGTTAGCCAGACATTGTAAATAAGGACTAGAGGAGGACTGATTCTTGGAGACAATTTTTCTTCTTAAAATTTTATCTCACAAGAGAGGAAGAAAAGGGCTTGATGTTTCTTGGAGCATCTGAATGTGTAGAAGGGCATATAAAATGTTCTGTATTGGCTGGATGTAGTGGATTACACCTGTAATCCAAGCACATTGGGAGGCAGAGGCAGGAGGATCACCTGAGGTCAGGAGTTAGAGACCAGCCAGGCCAACATGGCGAAACCTTATCTCTACTTAAAAAAATTACAAAAATTAGCCAGGAGTGGTAGAAGGCATCTGTAATCCCAACTACTGAGGAGGCTGAGGCAGGAGACTCTCTTGAATCCTGGAGGCGGAAGTTGCAGTGAGCTGAGATCACACCACTGCACTCCAGCCTGGGGGATAGAACAGGACTCTGTCTCCATAATAATAATAATAATAATAATAATAATAATAATAATAAAATAAAAAGATCTGCATTCCAGCCTGGGAGATTGATTAACGCAGAGACTTGCTCTATCAATCAATAATCTGTATTGTATGTAGGTGACAATGACACTCTTTCCAAA